CATACATTTACAATGTTTAAAGAATATAGTGATAAGAAATCAAGTTTAGCTTATGTAACAAAAAATTTTATAGTAGATTTAGCCAAAATTCATGATATTGTAATTGCTGTATTAGTCAATAATGGACATATAAACCATTTGTCCAAAAAAATTAAAATTTTGATAAAAAAGTATGTAACTCTGGAGTGGTTTACTTGTAACCAACATTTGGATTATGTGTTTAATTATTTTCTAGATGTGTCTGTAGACTTATTAATTAGGAAATATTATGATGATGTTTATAGAAGTTATCGAGATTTGCAGAAAAATGATTTACAAAAAAAGAAAATTAATAAGATGAAGCATTTATAATTTTATTTAGCCTATTTTTCTAAACTCTTCTCCATTTCTTTATTTAAATAAACTATTTTTTTAAGTTCACAACATTGATTTTCTTTTAATGCTTTGGTACTTCAGTCAAATAGTTAATGGTAAATTTTATATGTTATATCGATTTGTTTATCACCTAAAAGTATTTTACTTTATTGTAAGAGTTGTTATTTTAAGAGTATTTATTTTAGCTTTAGTAAAGTTCTCTGTATATTGTGTAATATTTTTCTTTGAATATTTTTAGGCTACCTACTAATCAAATTTGTAATATCTGCATTTTGTAAAATATAAGATAAATAAAGAAGAGTGGGGACATGCATGCATTTTGTGTTGATCTGTGTTTTATATCTCAAAACTTTATATTTCAAAACAATTGTTCTGTATATGTTTTTCTATTTTGTTTTATCAGCACTCCATACATGCATGCGGAAAGTGGGGGGTCCCTGTGAGGATTAATAAAAATAAAACACGTGTAGTTTTTTTTTCCAGTGTTCCTGTCCCCTATTTTTCTGAAAATTTATGAGGAAAATATCGATGGCTTAGCATCGAGAAATCCTTCTATCTCATTTTACAGGAGAGACTTTAAACTGAACTTTTGCATACTCTAACCTAAAAACAACAAATAAAATTTACATATTTTGATTCTGAACATATATTTAGATCGTTACACATATATTTTAGGTTAGAGTATGAGGAAATTCAGTTTAAAGTCTTTCCTGTAAAATTATCTGTAAACTGAGATTCTTTACTGAAATATAATAATTTTAAATATCCCGCGTTCCATTTTCTGGCCGTTTAGTTGAGTAAGTAGTTCATCGGGTGTGCCAGTTTTATGTATGCAACCAAGCAGCCAGTGTTACCAGGAGCGATTAATTACAGGGACCCGATCCGTGAGATCCGTCAACTGCGCATGTGCAATCTTTGAAATGTCATCAAAAGTGACAACGAGGGACAATCTCCAACCTAAAAAAATCTGAGCAAGTTTATAAAAACGATTAGGAATAAAAATAGAAAATTTTACAATATTTCTTTCTACAGGTACATAGTTGTTACATTCATAACTAAAATATAGAGAATAAATAACTTGTACTCTGAGTAATAAGAAAGAAAATCACATTAAGCTAATGTATATTGACGACTTTTATATTAACCTTCCAAGATTGTTTATTTTGTTGTAGTAGCTTACGGAAATTATTAACTTTGCACCAGATAGTTTAAAATATTTAACGTAATACATGTTTATGAGTGAAGATAAGGATTATAATAAATTATTATATAAGTATTATTATAAACTTAAATTTATTTATTGTTGTTGAAAGTAAACAAAGTATTAATGAACTAAATTTAAATGACATATTACGGTTAATGGGTTAATCTTGTATGAATTGGCAAAATCGTTGTCTTCAGGTGGATGTTTTCAAAATTTGTCTCGTTCTAAAACGTGTTTAAAATAGTTTAATTCTTCAATACTCTTCCATAAAAAAGTGAAGTAATGGCGGACATAAAACAGAGTGTTTGTATTTTTCCAACCACTTTCATAATTTCTGTAAAATAAACTTCATTAATGTGGAAGTCCTTTCGGCTTGAAAAAAAAGCTACTGCTTCCAGACACTTATTTAAATGCACATTTTCTCCACATTACATCGGCGTAGAAAGCTTAGACTGATTTGAGAAAACTTTACCACATTCAAAACAGTTCACTGATATATTTACTAATTACGTAAATAGGGAACTATTCAAAACAATTTTTATTTGACAATGCAAGGTACCGCTTAAAATTTTCATTTGAAAGTTCGAAATATTTCGAATGCAGTCGTTTCGCACATGCGCAGTTGACGGATCGGGTCCCTGTAATTAATCGCTCCTAGTGTTACCAGTGGCTGGGCATGGAAGGATGCACCTCCCTGTCAAAAATTATGCGATTTTGTACAAAATTATGCGCTCTGTTGTAACCTTACTGTCATCTGTCACGTCCTGTCAGTTGTCATTGTTAAGGCCATATGACACTATGCATTTTCTTGTATCATGTCTTATATTGTTTCTGATATAGGAAGTTATTTATGTTTTCTTGTATTTAAGTCTTGAATATAAAATTTTCTTCGATAAAGTAATTTTTATTTGCTAAAGGTAATGCTGTGTCACAGAAGAAATAACAATTATTGGTTGAGTTTACCGAAAGCACAAGCTGATTATAGCCACAAATGTCAAACATAGAACAAACACTTTCTCTATAGCAGTGTTGGCATGTTTTTGTAAATGTAGATGCTATATACTTCAAATATAAAAAGATAAAGCTTTAGAAAAGTACATTTTGTTTATATTATGTTATGAATTCTGCAATTTTTGATTTATATTAAACAACAATGAGTAAATATTTGTTTCTTTGGAGATTTATTAAAGTTAATAATTAGAAATTTTTTTAGCAATTACCCTTTGATAGATTAGAGGATAGATTTTGCAATCGTCAAATCAGCAGTTGCCAGATTACAAAAAAAATTGCAATTAATCTCAAAAAAGACAAATATCTACTCGTTATTGCTTCATGTAAATTAAAAATTGCAGAATTCATTAAATGGTATAATCAAAATGTACTTTTTAAAAGCTTTATCTCTTTATATTTGAAGCATACAGCATGCGTTATAAAAACATGCCAACATTGCCAAACCGAAATATTTTTGACATTTGCGGCTATATTCAGCTTGTAATTTCGGTAAACTCCAATGACGTATAATATATAGACTCGGTGAACGCTTTAAAAAGTGTCCAAAACATGAATACCTTTGTTATTGTTTATTGTTTTGATACGAAGATGCACGAAGTTCATGAGTTCTTACGAAGCATCACGAAGTTGATCTTGTGTTTAAAACATCATGGACGTATGAAAACATTTTCTCCATTTTGTGTGACAAGCAAATTTTATTTTAAATTGTTGAGAGTTATTTACTTACTATTTTAGTAAAATGCCATACTATTTTATCAAAATAATTATTTCTCTTATAGACTTGACAAAAAGAAATAAATATTTAATTTTAATTAAAAAAATAATTATTGTCATTAACATATAAATGAGCACGCCGCTGTTGTGATAAACATACCTTCAACCTTGAGCCGAGATCTTTCGGACACTTGATTCTATAGCGAGAATAGGGGACTGCGTAGTCTATAATATACGTCATTGGTAAACTCAACCCAATTGTTTATTATTTTGTGACTGTGTAAAATGTCAGCACAAACGTTTTCTTTTAAAACAAACAAGAAGACGAGTACTCTTATTATAAACTGGCTTGTCATTGGTTTTTTTGCTTTGCTGGATTGTGCGAAATTATGTGATTTTATGCAGGATGCGAAAATTATGCGCCGGCAACTAAATTATGCGCAAATCGCATAATTATGCGCCGATTGGCAACACTGCCAAGCACTCTCTTATTTGTTATTTCTCTATGCCCTGCACCAAAGAATATAGACGCCTGCCCTATATTCTTAGGAGCGATTAATTACAGGGACCCGATCCGTCAACTGCGCATGTGCGAAACGACTGCATTCGAAATATTTCGAACATTCAAATGAAAATTTTAGGTGGTATCTTGCATTGTCAAATAAAAATTGTTTTGAATAGTTCCCTATTTACGTAATTAGTAAATATATCAGTGAACTGTTTTGAATGTGGTAAAATTTTCTCAAATCAGTCTAAGCTTTCTACGCCGATGCAATGTGGAGAAAATGTGCATTTAAATAAGTGTCTGGAAGATTTCCAGTAGCTTTTTTCAAGCCGAAAGGACTTCTACATTAATGAAGTTTATTTTACAGAAATTATGAAAGTTGTTGGAAAAATACAAACACTCTGTTTTATGTCCGCCATTACTTCAGTTTTTTATGGAAGAGTATTGAAGAATTAAACTATTTTAAACACGTTTTAGAACGAGACAACTTTTGAAAACATCCACCTGAAGACAACGATTTTGCCAACCCATACAAGATTAACCCATTAACCGTAATATGACATTTAAATTTAGTTCATTAATACTTTGTTTACTTTCAACAACAATAAATAAATTTAAGTTTATAATAATACTTATATAATAATTTATTATAATCCTTATCTTCACTCATAAACATGTATTAGGTACGTTAAATATTTTAAACTATCTGGAAGTTAACAATTTCCATAAGCTTTCACAACAAAATAAACAATCTTACAAGAGTCGTCAATATACATTAGGTTAATGTGATTTTTTTTCTTATTACTCAGAGTACAAGTTATTTATTCTCTATATTTTAGTTATAAATGTAACAATTATGGACCTGTAGAAGGAAATATTGTAAAATTTCCTATTTTTATTCCTATTCGTTTTTATAAACTTGCTCAGATTTTTTTAGGTTGGAGATTGTCCCTCGTTGTCACTTTTGTTTGATGTCATTTCAAAGATTGCACATGCGCAGTTGACGGATCGGGTCCCTGTAATTAATCGCTCCTTATATTCTTTGCCTGCACTTTAACTCCCTATTATATTGACCACATCTGTTTGTCAAATGTCAGTCAATATTTTTTAAAGGTAAATAATCATTTGATATTGAAAATTGAAAAATATACATTTCATAAAACAAAGTATCTTTACCAAACATTGAACAAAATGCTGTATTTGGAAGATTATTTAGAGAGTAAGTAATATTGTTAATAATAGTTTTTATTCTAACCTCAAAATTGTAGTGATAGAGCATTTACCTCAAGAATTAAGAGATAGATTTACAGACATGAGAGAAATGGATCTAACTATTCACAGTAAGTATAATGAATCGAATACGTAGTAATAATGAATAGTAATATAAAAGAAAAGTACGTTATGAGTCTCACATCTTCCTTTAACTATGAACCCTGTAGTGAATTATTTTAATTTTTTAGAAATTTTGTACAATTAATTTTGTAAAATAATTAATAGTCTGATCAGGCGCATAATCAAGAATGTAGGGAGTGACTACCAAAACAATTTACATCTAGACTATGTACTGAATAAACAGATTTGGTAATAGAAAATAAACAATAACTTAAATTTCAACACCAGAATATAAGCTGAAGGAAAAATTGGTTGTAATCAGATGAATTCTAACTCAAGGAACCTAACTTGTGAATAGGATGCTGAATTATTTAGCAAGGAGTAACAATGATAATTTATTTAAAATAATTCTGGCTCACAGATCAGCTTTACAAAATAACAACATTTTTCAGGAATTATAGACAAAACAATATAAGCTTAGTAGAGTTTATAGGATGTCAATTGAACAAGTATAAAAACAAAATTTGACACCAAGGTTCGGTGTTTTCAATAAAACATAGGTGGCACAATAGAAATTAAATAATAAACTCTTATTTAGAAATTAAGGTCTAATATTTGTTAAACAGTAAAAGATTGTTAATTATTCACATTCCTTTACGAAATATACACTAAAGGTTCCAGTTCACAACTAGGTAGCAAAGTTTGCAACAAATAAGAAAAAAGTGGAAATATGTGGAAGACACTGGCATCTCTTTACAGAATATACAACAAGTGTTTTGTGCATACTGTATTACATGTAACCCCAAATTGGTACAACAGAAATACTTAATAGTTAAAATTTTGAGATATAAAGTAATTCCAAACTATCTAAAGGAAGATGTTAGTCCATACTAACTGAAGATGAACATTCAGTCAAAAAAAATTATTGGTCACTGTGATGATTGATGTAACAAAATTCTATTAATTACGATAATCAATTAGTGGCCTACACAATCTTGCATATATGGGACATCCTGTATAAACACAAATTATAGTTAAACACCACATTAAACACCATGTGAGTTATATTTAACTCACACCCTGTTTGACCCAGGCGCTCTGTGAGTTAAATATGATTCCACAGAGTATTAAGATACTACTCTATGTGGTGTTTTTAACTTGTATATACTTGTAAACTGTATATAGTTCTTTAAAAATTAAATTTCCATAGATTTGTGTTTTACAAAAAAGTACTTAACACAAAAAAAAAAGAGTCACAATTGTCACACTTATAAGGAGTCTGCTTAGTTTTCATAACATATTCAGCTCCATCTATTTTTTTAAGGGAAAACATTGGGCCACTGAGATGTATTTGTGTAAACTAATTAATTTTTAATGTACACTTTAAAAAGTCCTTTATAATAAATATGGGTACAAAAAATTTTATTTGGTCACAAAAAAAAACTCACTGCGTGAGTCATGTTGGTGGCCACAGGCCAGAAAATGTGTCAGTTGAACTTAAAAAAATAATAATCTGATTGAGAAAAGATATAATTATGAACCTAGATAACTAACATAAGTAATTATTAAATGTCAACAACATCAAGAAAACAAATTAATTATCTAGGTAATTTTTAATGTCTTCATGAAAATGTCTAAAACAATTTTCTAAGCACCATCCTGGATGTTCAGGGCACTCCGCACAATAAAACAATGAGTCCTTTCTTTCTTTTTTAGTTTGCCAGCAATATTTACACCGTCGTCGTTTTGTAATACCATTAGCTGATTTAGGGCAATGGGAATGCAAATGAAATGTCAAATTTTTCTTAACTTGAGGGATTTTTGGGTTTGGTCCCAAAAGACTATCAATCACTGACAATCGAAAGTCATACAATGACATTTTTGTATTAGAATTATTATAGAAATAGTATGTGTTGATTAGCATAATTTGAAAAATATGTATGCCTATTTTTTTGTACCACCTCATAGTTTTGTGTTCACAGCTATAATAATTTAACATCTGGTCGCCTAAGTCAATGCCACCTTTATTTTTGTTATATTCAGTGACTAAACAGGGCTTTTCTTTATCAATTCCTTTCCTAGATATTGTTGGAACCATTTCATGACCAAATTCGGAAGAGATCATTAAAATATCTCGCTGATCTTTCCATTTACACACACATATCCCTTTATTATTGTAAGCACTCACCAGTTCATTTTGTTTTAATTTTCGAGAAACAACTTTGTGTGTATTTTCCACTCTTCCTGTTCTCAATGTTCCTGTAAGATAAGTTTTTACCGAAAGTAGTTTTTTACACAATGGAACACTATTATAAAAATTATCCATATATAAGGAGTGACCAACATTTAGTTTCGAATCCATCCAATTTAGCACTACTTTTTCCGTATGACTATGTCCTCCAACTACGGGGTCACTAGCTCCACTATAAACTAATATGCGTTGAATCATCCCGGTACATTCTGCCAAAGTATACAGTTTGACACCATATTTGTGTCGTTTGCCCTTGAGAAATTGGCGCAAACTAAGTCTTCATCTCCATAAAATCATAAATTCGTCCAGGGCTAATTTTCTTTCTGGATAATAAAGATTCTCCATTTTATTATTCAAAAATCTAACAATGGAGATATCTTGGCAAGTCTGGACTGGTTATTGTCACTATTATTGTTAAAATGTAAGGCACACAAAATTAATATAAAGCGATTTCGGCTCATGTATTGTCCAAACACTGGAATACTAAATAAATGATTTTTCTTTCAATAAATAATCATTCATACGATTCATTTTTATGATTCCCATGTGAAACAACAAACCAAGAAAAATTTTAAATTTGTTTACAGTTATATCCTTCCAAGTTGCAATTCTACTTATCTCAGATTTACTTAGAGAAAGAATATCAATGGCATATAAATTGCTATTTTGAATAATCAGGTCATAGAATAATTCATATGCCAATAAATTGAAGGATTGCTGCCACCCACATTAATTTTTAATCCTGGTATTGCTATAAATGGTAGCACTGTAGGATTTTGAACCTCTGAAGACCATTCAATAATATTTTGAGACTCATCATCATCATCTTCAGATTCTTCTTGTAAATCAGGATCGTCTGTCCAATCATCTTCATCACTTGCGTCCCTATCGTCACGTGAATCTTCTAATATGTGTAACAATTCATTATTTGAGATTGGCTGAGAAGTTTCCCACCTACCTCGTTTAGAAGTCGAAGGTTGGCAATATTCATCACTCATTTTAAAAATAACTTAAAATTGAAGTATTTAGTAAAACATGTACAATGACTAACAGTAAAACCAAAAACATCCAACAGCGAAGGCGTAAAAAATATTACTGAATGCATAGCAAAATAAACCGACAGGATTGGATTATGATAATACAACAAATTATTGGAAATGCAATATAATCTAAAGACATCTGGTGATTCTTTCAAAGCTTACTGATGCTTTTACTTTTATTACTTTACAACCTTTTATTACAGCTAATTTTGTCGTTTTCGAGCACATCTAGCTTGAATATGTAAAAAGTAAGCAATGAAATTGAGGGTTTCATATTTTTTCATCCAATTTATCAATGGGACAGAAAAGATTTGTTATAATTTGTGAAAAATCCGCCAAGATAACATTCATACATTGTCATATACTCAGAATAAAGTTTAACATCAAAATTCGGAAACCAAACACAAACTCCAGTGTTTCCAAGCGGCCAGCAGATATTTGTTGTAATTCGTGAAAAATCCGCTGAGATAACGTTCATATATTGTCATATAGTCAAAGACCGCGCGACTCGCGTTGGTGGCCTCTGAGGCTATATTCACTGAACGCAACTGTTGCGTTGTCGGACTTGAACGTGTTAATGGCATATTCTCTTCCGTATTTTCTTTTCATAATTTCATAGCAAACTGTAAGCCTTCGTCTTGCTGATTCCATTTTCTTTCAGGCAACAAGTTTTTAACACTTCTTTTTCATGACAGTCTTGGGGGATATCTGCTTGAAATAGTTTTAGAGTTACATCTTCTCTGAAGGCAGTAATTTGTATTTTATTTTTAGTTATAGCTTTATACAAAATAAATGCATTTGTTAAGCTATAAACATGCATATATAAGCTCAGCATTCACTGAGCTATAATTTCATCTATGTTGCTTGTAAATTGTACTGCACTTTTACATTTTAACTTTTTTGCAATCAGTGTTTCTTTTTCACAATATTCCGAGTTTGATGAAGCCAAAATATAATTGTCTTCAAAATTATCACTTTCGAAGGCATCACCTACTTCCTCATCAGGCATATCAATTATCTCATGGTATATTCTTTACAAGTCGCGGGGGTGGGCATCTATCATTTCAGTAGGCCGGAGTGAATAGATGGCCAAGTCCAGATTGGGGCCCAGTTCTTGGGGTATAACACGGACCCCTACCTAGGGATACAGGTGAAGACCACAACGGTAGGCACGGCGGAGAAGAAGATCTTCGGTACGACGTGGATGGCGGAAGTGGCATCCCTGGATTTTAGGGATGGTATAAAATGAAACCGATAGCGTCTGACCCATATTGGACGTTTGTCAAAAGCGTCTGTGCCCATAATGGGCGGCTAAACTAAAAACTAGTCAACACGCAAATCAAGCGTGACGTTTTAATTGCTATTACCCCTTTATTATGTCAGATACGAATACAAAAACGGATTTACCCCTGGTGAGTAGAAAACCATCAGTCATTCCCATGGAACCTGGGGGAGGGGGACAAAATTCTGACATATTTTAGAAAACCATCTTACAGATATATATCCCTAAAAATTGCAACTTTCAATGCAAGAACCCTGCTATCAGAAGAAAAATTCATAGAAATGGAATCTGAACTTGATAAAATCAATTGGGACATTGTTGGAGTCGCTGAGGTCAGAAGGAAAGGAGAGAAAGCCTAACCACTTTAAAATCCGGTCACATTTTCTATCATGTCGGAGAAAACGATGGGAATGGGGGCATTGGGCTCTTTATTAATAAAAAACTAGCTGAGAATATCATATCAGTAAAAGCAGTTTCCACAAGAGTTATACTTGCAAAATTACAACTAAACACCCGTTACTCCATAAAGATCATTCAAGTATATGCACCAACATCGAGTCACGCTGACGAAGAAATAGAACAGTTCTATGATGACTTGTACACAGTTTTTTCAGAAGACCAAGAACATTTTACGGTAATATGTGGCGACTTTAATAGGGATAAGCACTGACCCAGCTAAAAATGCCCTCGGAAATTTTGGCACACCATGTAGATACGAAAGGGGCGACATACTCTTAAAATTTACTATTAGAATACAATCTATATTTAATGAATAGCTTTTTCTATATTATATTCGTCTAAAAGAAAAGTAGAATATCAACACTATTAACGCGTGATAAATTCATTCACAATCTCTAGAGATGCTGAAGAGGTATCACTTATAGTGTAACTGATTATATAAACGCGGATCAAAAGTAACAAGTAGAAACGCACAAGAAACGACAATCTCCACCTCTAAACAAAAACGCTTAATTTGCAGTTTTAACACAGATATGGATTCAGCACTTAAGAATCACATTTATGTCTGTTGAATTTAATTATATAAATATATTTTTTACTTTTAATAGCTCTATGTATGTGTGTTGGTATAAATTAGAGTGTTGGTTTATAATTATAATGTTATTTAAATAAACTTAGAACTGTGAAAATTTTTAAGGTGTTTGCTGTTATAATAAATATCTCTTATGATGTTTTGTTAAAAATGATTTTGTTAAAATTGTTTGTGTCCTTATGATAGAAAATAATAAAAAAACTTTTAAATTTAAATGTGCGCTTCCTAAACATAAATTTAAATATACAGTGTCATCCACGCAAATCTGGCATAGTCCATAATCTGTATTTTAAATAAAACACCCTATATATTTTTATGTTTTTAAAAACTCCTTTACAACCTGATCTCAACGAACTATATCATGTAGAGTCTATATGAATAATACAAGGTGACATTTTGAAATTAAGTGTAATTTTCTTCAAGACAATTAATTCATAGAATACCCGACGTAATTGATTGGATTAATTAAAATTAATTGATTAAAATAAATGCTCAAAATGTTCTCCACCTTGTTGTTGACAATAACACAGTCTCCTATAAATCTCGTCCCGAACTTTGTTTAAAGTTTGAGGTGAACTATTCCGTATTTCTCTAGCTACCCTTTCTTTGAGGTCTTCAATGCTAGTTGGTTGTGTTGCATATACTTTGTTCTTGAGATAACCCCACAGAAAAAAATCCAAAGGCGTGATATCTGGCGACCTAGCTGGCCACTCAATAGTACGCCTTCGTCCAATCCATTTATTGAAGCAGATTTCATTCAAGTAATTTCTCACCAATAAAGCATAATGGGGTGTTGCACCGTCCTGCTGGAACCAGACAGTTTCATGCGGTAGGGTCAGATCTATTGGATTGAAATATAAGTTAGCCAACTGAGGAAGAACATCGTCTCTTAGCATGCAAGTTAGCCAACTGAGGAAGAACATCGTCTCTTAGCATGCAAGTTAGCCAACTGAGGAAGAACATCGTCTCTTAGCATGCTTAAATATTTTTCCGCTGTCAAATTACCATCTTCAAATATAGGACCAATACTATGATCTCCTATAATACCTGACCAAACATTCAACTTTTAAGGATACTGAGTGTGTGTCTCACGTATCAAATGAGGATTCTCCGCTGACCAATATCTACAGTTTTGTCGCTTAACCTCTTCGTTCAATGTAAATATTGATTTATCAGAAAAAAGAATTGTGCTAAAAGCTATTTCATTTGAGTAAATGTTATCGATCATTCTTTCGCAGAAATCCATTCTACGATCTGGATCGTCTTCTGTGAGCTCCCGCACAAAAGTCAAGTTATATGGATGAAGTGTTTCTTCATTAAGACATCTTAGGATAGTTGTGTTACTCACATTATGTTGACGTGCAATTTGACGTTAACTTGACGTTGAATTATCTGCCACACTTATCCAATTTCACCTCATCTTTAATTCGGTTTTCTTTTTAATTTATTGACATATCCAAGTTCTCTGAATTGTGCATAAATTTTAGACACAGTACCTTGTGAAATATTAGGCAACTGAGAATATGATTAAATAAGTCTGCTACTTCAACTTGACTTCTACAATTCTCCCCGTAACAGTCAAATATTTATTTTTGATTTCTGCAAGAAATTAGCTTTTAATTAGAAATGTATTCTTTTAATGTAAAATGTCAACACACCAACAACTGATTGATAACATTCTGCATTATTTACCGATTTAGTTTAATTAGCAGACTATCTAAACAGTTTTTACCTATTCATGACAAAAAATGTTAACAAGGTTACTAAACAGAAATTTTACCCAATATACTGACACTTGAGGGGTCTAACTGCAAAACTAACATTATCACCGACTTTGCTAAGTATCAAGACAATTACTCTACACACACACACACACACACACACACCACACACACACACACACACACACACACACACACACACACACACACACCACACACACACACACACACACACACACACACACACCACACACACACACACACACACACACACACACACACACACACACACACACACACACACACACACACACACACACACACACACACACACACCACACACACACACACACACACACACACACAACACACACACACACACACACACACACACCACACACACACACACACACACACACACACACACACACACACACCACACACACACACACACACACACACACACCACACACACACACACACACACACACACACACACACACACACCACACACACACACACACACCACACACACACACACACACACACACACACACACACACACACACACACACACACACACACACCACACACACACACACACACACACACACCACACACACACACACACACACACACACACACACACACACACACACACACACACACACACCACACACACACACACACACACACACACACACACCACACACACACACACACACACACACACACACACACACACACACACAACACACACACACACACACACACACCACACACACACACACACACACACACACACACACACACACACACACACACACACACACACACACACACACACCACACACACACACACACACACACACACACACACACACACACACACACACACACACACACACACACACACACACACACACACACACACACACACACACACACACACACACACACACACACACACACACACACACACACACACACACACACACACACAACACACACACACACACACACACACACACACACACACACACACACACACACACACCACACACACACACACACCACACACACACACACACACACACACACACACACACCACACACACACACACACACACACACACACACACACACACACACACACACACCACACACACACACACACACACACACACCACACACACACACACACACACACACACACACACACACACACACACACACACACACACACACACACACACACACACACACACACACACACACACACCACACACACACACACACACACACACACACACACACACACACACACACACACACACACACACACACACACACACACACACACACACACACACACACACACACACACACACACACACACACACACACACACACCATCTAAAAATGCCACAAAACACTTGTTATCCAGTAGAAAATTAATGTCAAAAAGTCGAGTTAACTGCAAAACTTACATTATCCACACTTCAATTTACATCAAAACTCACATTTTCCATTCAACCAATAGGAGGCCGCTGCCTGGCTGCGCGCGACCTCGAATCTCGAATGCCGGCGCTATTGTATCAGTTGGTTTGTTTTTGTAACGAGGTTTAACCGTTAGAGTTTGATTCATTTATTCCTCGTGTTTTGTAATTATTTAAAGATATATTATTAATTACATTATATTAATATATCCATTAAAGCGTATTACACCTAATGGATGTAACTAGTATCTCCAGTAAGTGGTAGAGAACGGGCACGAAAAGCTGTTCCAAACCCCGAGAAGTGGAAAAGAGCAATAGTAAAAAAACGAAGGTAGGTTAGATAAATGTGCTTTTACAGCGTAATCATTACTTAAATTATATATTACATTTCTCTGTTATTTTAAAATGTGTAATGAAATGTGTAATAATCATGTTTCTTTTTTTTTAGATATTGTGCTACGGGATTCCCCGACTTTCCTACATGCAGTCATTCACAAGGGGCATTTCATTGCAAGACTTTAACTATACAAGACATTCGTAGGTTTTACCAGAAATTTTACGAAAACAAGGACAAAGTAAGTCAGGGTAATTTTATAATTTTGCACATATCATTGGAACCTATTCAAAGGAGGAGACTCCCAAAAAATCCCGCTATAACCAATAAGAAGCAAAAAAAGGCGCAAGAAACAAGAGCCAAATACTTTATTCCAGACAGGGAAAAATGTAAAGTGCCTGTTTGCATGCAGACATTTTTAAAGTGCTTGAAAATATCACGTTTTAGAGTAAATCGTTTATCAAAATATTTTCGTGATGGAATAATGCCAAAAGAAAGACGAGGTGGAGACCACACGGGTGATCGCTTTGGTCCTAAAAAGGAAGCAATAATGAAATTTATAAATAGATTTAAATGCAGTGAAACACATTATTGCTCAAACAAAGGGGGCCGTAAATATCTCCCTTCTGAGTTGAACATCAAAAAGTTATGGAGAATATTTTGTGCGGATGAGAAATTTAAAGACATGGGAGTTAAAGAATGTTATTTCCGTTACATTTTTAAAGGAAACCGAAAGGATTAAAGTTTGTAAAGAGACCGTTCAGAAAAATAATTTAATGGTTGAAAAAAGAATGCACAAATTAAGATCAAAAGCATTCTATGAATTTCTCAAGGAAAACGTAAATGATTTACTGATTCTCTTTTTTCATTGTCAGAAGAATCAACCACTCCCAAAAATTCCTGATCAAGCTACTTACTACAGCAGACAGATTTGTTTGAACAATTTCTGTGTAGTTGCTGGCCATTCTAAATCAAAAATGGGTACCCAAAACGTGACATCCTTTATTTGGACTGAAAATGAGTACCACAAAGGAGCAAATGAAATATCATCTTGCTTATTTTATTATTTAAACTCAATTGTTGATTTGTCACCTTACAAAACCATTAGACTTATTTGTGATGGTTGTGGTGGACAGAACAAAAATACTATTTTAATTAGCATGGTGGCATACTAGCTTTCAAAAGCACCAGGTAATATTAAAGAGGTGCAATTGGTTTTCTCTGTCACAGGACACAGCTTTAACCTCCGGATCGTGTATTTGGTAACATCGAAAAAGAGATAAAAAAGCAAGAAAATATTGTTTCTCCAAACGAATACATTGATATAATAAAAAAATATTCAACGGTAAAGATACTCGGAACTGATTTAATTAACATGGATTGGAAAAATGCCGTTATTAATGTCATTAAACCTTCAAGTGGCTGGCACTTTGGCATAAAATCATGCAAACGTGTTTATTTAACAAAATCAGGGCACACAATCCTTATTAAGGGAGAATGTAATTACAGAAATAAGTTGATGACTGCAAAGTCTATTGCAAAGCGAGGAAAACGACTGATCGAACTTCAACCCCAAGAAATTGTTAAGGGAAATAGCCTAAAACAAGAAAAGAAAGATAACGTTCAAACATTATTAGGTAAGCATTATGGCCAGGACTGGAGATCTCTAGATACACTACAGTTTTTTAAGCATGCCATTGATAATGAATCTGCAGTCGAACAACAACATGACGAAACAGAAGAATATGAGCTTTTATGCCAACCGCAGGAGGAAATTTCTGCTTTTAACATTTAATTTTTTTTTTTTCATTTTATTGTAACTAATTTGATGTTGAATGGATATAATAAAATAATAATATAAATTTTATGAATTTTAGTTATTGGCATATTTTACATTTTCCTTTATATTTATATAATATATATATATATATATATATATATATATATATATATATATATTTGCAATAATATTTCAATCCATAAATCTAAGGTAGAAACCTAGAAACTGATGGTGTAGCTCAAACTCGCTAATTTGGGAATGAAGCAAAAAGTACATTCTCCATATCGCTTGGATGCAAAACTCACATTTTTAATTTTTGAACTCAAAACTCACATTATCCAAACTTAAACATTAAAAAATATATATATTTATAGTAATTTGATTTGTTTTTCACTTGAGCAGGGTATTCAAGAGACCAAAAGCAAATAATTTGTGAAAAATAATCAAGAACATAGGCTTGGAACATAGTTTTTACAGTTTTTTGCAATTTGCCAAAATTCACAAAAACGGAGTTTCACATTGAGTTTTGCAGTTAGACCCCTCACTTAGAGTAGAAGTGTATTATCTGTATTTGGCTAATTTAAAATAATACCATAACACGTAATAAATTATTAATTTTAAAATTTCACCTTGTATTATTCATTATAGACCCTACATGATATAGTTCGTTGAAATCAGGTTAAGAATCATTTAAAAACATAAAAATATACAGGATATTTCATTAAAAATAAGGATTATGGACCATGCCAGACTTGCGTGGATTACTCTGTACATTGAAATGTATGTTTAAAAACCCGTGACAAAAACAACAAAAAAAAAGGAGATAATAGTGCATAATATGTGATTTTACATCTTCCACGAGTTTTTAAACTATATACAATATAACCTGCCACATCCGGATCAACGTGGCGACTAATCGACCGGATTTGAAAAAATCCGGATATTAAGACCATTTAAAAATATGTAGCTGTAAACGGCCTGAAATTTATATATTAGTTATTTTCTGCTGCTTTACACACCGAACACGTTTTTTTGAAGCCATGTATGTCATCCTTTTTAAGAGTATCGCGTCACTTGCACAAGTATCTTTTTGACTTTTAACGTAGCACAGCAGAGCCTTGAACTACTTCAATGTTTCGGAATGGCTCATCACGACCGAATTTTTGTCAGTGCTTTCATCCCCTACGAGTTTTTGTCATCATTCTTGCACACCAGGCGATAATTCGCCATTAGAAGGGCATATCTGGATTCATTTCGCATGTCTTCAAAGTACTGTAACTTTCGAGATTTGATGATGGTCAGTACCTCTCGGTTCTTCTTCATTCTTCTCAGGACCTCCTCATTAGTGACTCGGTCAGTTCACGGGATTTTAAGTATTTTCCGATATAGCCACATCTCAAATGCTTCTAATTTTCTGCACATATCAACCAAGAGAGATGTTGTGGCTCTTAAAGAAGGCCCCCATTCGGTTGAAGGTGAATCTATCTTTTGAGGTGGAAATGAGTAGCAATAATAAATAATAGATACTAAATTATTCGAAATTACATAAACAAAATGGAATATTTTAAAAATGAAAAACTGTAACTCATTTTACTCATTGTACCTATGTAGTTTTCCAGTACTTATTTTTCGTAATTCGATGTTACTTATATATAATAGTAAAAAGTTTTTTCATCATTTTTAAAGAAAACATTCGTTTTACATCCGCAAAGTATATTAGTTTGTGCGTTGTCGCCTATGCAATACTTGGAGACGATCTATCGATGGATTCATATATAGTTTTGTCTCCTGAATCAAAATCTGAAAAGGGCATTTTGATATCTCGAACCATCTTCGACATAACTGGCATCAAAATCAAAAATAGTGGCATCACAATCCTTCTAAATATACATTCGTTTCTGCTGACACAAATAAATGTTTAATCGTAATCGAAACGTCTACTAAATAAATTTTATTTATTAATGTTAATGTAATGTGAAATGTATAAGTCTATTATATATAAGAGGTCTTTTTTTATATCAATAATAATAATATTATTACTTATTTCCAAATATTGGTCTTAAATGACAGTTTTCAAAAACTAATATTTAAGTATACTTCTTTGGAAGATTAATCATTGGTTACTATTATTTTAACAGTAATCCTAAAAATTATAAATAATTCATTTCAAATTCAGATGTTATAGGCTGCTAGAATCTGAATACAACCCTGTACGATTATATAAACATCAGGTTTCACGTGTTCTGTGTATGTATTTATTGACCGCTACTTTTCTGTTAAATGAATTTAGTTTATAAGAAGATCCATAGAAGATGGACTTGGAAGAGCCCCGATGGTAAGACCAAAAATGAGATCGACTTCATCATCACTGACAAAAAACATATGGTCAAAGATGTTACAGTCTTAATCGGTTGCAAGCGATCATAGAATGGTCCGAGCAACTGTAGAAATCAATATTAAGCAAGAAAGACTGAAGATGATAAAAAGTAAAAAATTCAAACCTTGGATGCGCCCAACGAATGAATTTGACTTTGAAAAATATATCACCAGTAACTTACTCAGAAATACAACAAGAGAAGACGTAAATAACCTAAACGAAGAAATAGTAGATACATTAACACAAGCTCAGGAAAAATTTGGCCCTAAACATGGAAAAGAACAAAAAATTAGTAAAGAAACGAAACAAAAAATGGAAGATCGTAGAATGCTGAGAAGTCAAGGAAATGTTGACTAACAAGATATAAACAGCATCAATAAAGAAATCTCTAAAGCCATCAGACGGGATATTAGGAAATACAACAACGAGAAAATTATAAAAACTATAGAAGACAACAAAAGCATGAAAGCATTGGGGAGAAAAATGGAAAAAAAGAAATCTTCCAACTTAAAGACAAGAATGGAAATATTATCTCAGATAGACCAAGCATATTACATATAGTGGAAAGTTTCTATGAAACATTATGTAAAAGTCAAGTTATTCCAGAGCTCATCGAACAACCAATACAAAAGGTACATAATGTAGGATCGGAGGATATACCAGATATATCACGAGAAGAAATTCAACATGCCCTCAAAAATATGAAAAATAATAGAGCTCCGGGGGAAGATGGTGTAGTCATTGAGACAATTAAACTAGGAGGTTCACTTTTGATGTCCCGAATTCAAACACTTTTTAATCTATGTCTGCATAGTGAAAACATTACAAGTAAATGGAAGAATTCGGTTATAATCCTCCGTCACAAAAAATGGGATAAATTAGATCTCAAAAACTATAGGCCAATTAGTTTGCTTAACCTATACAAGCTCTTTACTCGAATACTGACAAACAGATTAGAAGCAAAAACCGATTTCTATCAATCAGAAGAACAGACAGGATTTCGAGCGGGACACGGAACAAACGACAATTTACAATGCCTTAAAACTCAAGTTGAAAAGTCTATCGAATATAACAGACCCCTTGCTCTTATCTTTGTCGACTTCCACAAAGCATTTGACACAGTCGAAACAGTTGCTATCTTAAAAGCACTATCAGAATGCAGAATAGATCACAGGTATGCAAATATACGAAATATATACGAAAATGCGACAACAACCGTTAACCTCCATTGCATGAATGAGAAGATAAAAATTGGCAGAGGGGTGCGGCAGGGAGATACCTTGTCGCCAAAACTATTTATAACAGTTATGGAGTACGCATTTAAACGGCTAGAGTGGGAATCAAAGGGTATTAGCATCGATGGAAAGATATTCAATCATCTCAGATATGCCGATGATATTGTTCTCATAATAGTCAACTTAGGAGAAGCCAGAGTTATGATACAACTACAGCAAGTAACCCAGAAAGTCGGTTTAAAGATAAACTATGGAAAAACAAAAATGATGACCAACCTCGTCCCCAATGAGCTAATAGAAATCTAAAAG